TTGGTGAAATTGATTGACGATGTGTGGCCATATGTATGAGGAAGAAATAGTATTTGAATGCGATAGAATAGCAGTGTGTTGTTTAGTGCGGCGGATAGTCGGGGGTGTAGCTCAGTGGTAGAGCGCTCGCTTTGCATGCGAGAGGACCCGGGATCGATACCCGGCACTTCCAGGACTCCGTGAATCCGACCTCCCGAACACTCAGTGGTGGTGGTTGGCTCACACTTTTCCAACTGCCGACTAACTCCACCCCAATCAACTAACTATACCACACTACACCACACTTCACTTCACTCACTTACAGCAATGTCGTCTGTCCATCCTTTCTCATCTAACCGACCTGCGCATTCTAAAGTAATGACATTAACTGGTCACAGACAGTTGAACACGTTGTGCTCCGTTCTAAAACACACATGTTACTTAAAAAAAGTCGCACTAAGTCAGTCGTCGATGGCTCGAACAAATGTTTGCAATGTGTGTCCAGTTGTGGACAAGAGATCAGCCTCACTGTTCCAAGTAAACGGCATGCCTGTAATTACACGAATATCAAATTGGTATTGACAGTGAGAAATCACTGCTGTCATTGATCCGTCAGCAGGCAATTGATTGATTCGGTGTTTGGCATAACAATCTTCCGATTGTTAGGAGGAGTGGAGCACGGTCGGACGGGAGCTGGTAAGTCAAGAACAATTGAACACCCTTAACATATGCATTCTCGCAGGCAGATGATACTCTCTTACACAAGCCCAAGACACTCCCTCACTCCACAGTGCTCATATCATGGATGAATACGAGTGCATTCTGCTCCGTTCCCTGCTTCCTCATTCCGCTCTCCCCTTCTTGCTTTGTTTCTTCCCACAATGTGTTTCGACACACAGCGTACTGCATATTTCGCTGAAATACAAGAACAATATCTAACTGTTAGTATTCAACTCCACCGTGTCTCTAATTGATTGCGATCTCACCACAAAGAAAAAACACCGTGGTGAATGCTTGCAAAAATTGTCACTAACTTGGTCGAGTGAATTATTGTCCTTTGAAAATCAGCATTCTCAGTCTACTTCCTGTCCAGTTGTGTCAACCATTTTACATTGAAGCACAATGCTCAATCAGCTTTCAATACAACAGCATGCATATTTGAAATATTGTCGTATTAATGTTCTATTTGATAGCAGCATCGTTTCGCTGACACTGTGTAATCGAGCGAGATATGTGCTAATGGTGTTCATGTCGGCTTTGTATGTCAAGCACCTCAACTGAATAATCGTGAGTAAAACACCGGTCATAGTGTAGTGTGTTAAGCACGGTGCTGGTCTGATTACGACGATGTGTGAATTAGAGAAGAGACGTGGTTGAAATGATGCAGGTGCAATAAGACGTCTGCACCGAACGATGTTTGCTTCTGTTGCAATTGTATCCAGTGCATTGGTGATGATGACTGACTTTGTGATTGTCGGTACATGTTGTTTGTGAACTAGCGATGAATCAAGTGGTTGGTGAAATTGATTGACGATGTGTGCCATATGTATGAGGAAGAAATAGTATTTAAATGCGAGTAGAATAGCAGTGTGTTGTTTTAGTGCGGCGGCTAGTCCTGGGTGTGTAGCTCAAGGTGGTAAGAGCGCTCGCTTTTGCATGCGAGAGGACCCGGATCGATACCCGGCCTACTTCCAGGGACTCCGATGGATCTCCGACCTCATCCGAAACACTCAGTGGGGTGGTCAGGTTGGCTCCACACTTTTGCCAACTGCCGACTACTCCACCCCACATCACTAACTATACACCACACTACACCACACTTCACTTCACTCACTTACAGCAATGTCGTCTGTCCATCCTTTCTCATCTAACCGACCTGCGCATTCTAAAGTAATGACATTAACTGGTCACAGACAGTTGAACACGTTGTGCTCCGTTCTAAAACACACATGTTACTTAAAAAAAGTCGCACTAAGTCAGTCGTCGATGGCTCGAACAAATGTTTGCAATGTGTGTCCAGTTGTGGACAAGAGATCAGCCTCACTTCCAAGTAAACGGCATGCCTGTAATTACACAAATATCAAATTGGTATTGACAGTGAGAAATCACTGCTGTCATTGATCCGTCAGCAGGCAATTGATTGATTCGGTGTTTGGCATAACAATCTTCCGATTGTTAGGAGGAGTGGAGCACAACAGTTACGGCCGACGGTAGACTGTCAACGCTGTTCCAATAAAGAAGTATCCAATTAGAACACACACCCGGTTTTATAACTATTATACCATATCATTCCTTTCAAACATAGGATATGCATGAACTTTTCCATGACTCAAATGTGCATAGGATTTCAAGTATATAGTAGTAGGTCACAGCATCAGTGATAGATGAAAATTATTACTCCTATCGGTTTAACAACAACCAGCCCACGAGCACAGCTACGCATTTGAGAGGCGACGACGAAACTGTAGAAATAGATTGTCGGGATATTTTTTTACTCGAGCGAAGAGAGATAAAAGGATTGGAATGTATTCCACTGACAAGTGCCAATTGTTGTGACCCATTCTGAGTAATGGTCAGCCAAAGCATGTCGATGCCATACACGATTGCACTCTCTTCCGCTTTAAACATTGTTCCCTGCTAATTCGACTCCGACCGTCGGGCTCTAGAATGGCGTGAAGCTTAGCTCTGTTTTTCATCCATGTGAATGACGTAGTGCAAGATTGTCTGGATTAGTCCGATCTAAGTCCGCTGCTATCTTGCTGATTTACTTTACATATTGTCAATGACCTGCATGCATCCGCTTCATGTCCCCCATCTTGGTTTTGAATAGATTACTTCTGTTGAAAATTTCAGCGTGCTTCTAATCACCTGACTTTTTATCTAAGGTTAATAATTAATTTCATAGTGGGTTTGATAATCAGAAAATGATTGTCCAAATAATTCCAACAGTCCATTCCAGTCCTTCATTACTTTTGTACTATTCGCCTGTATAGTATCGGTATCTTAGCTCTATTCCTTTCGAGCTATATTCTTGAAGCTATATTGTTGACTATAAGCATGTTTTAACGCTATCACATCCACAGCTGTAACTGAAATGTCACATTCCGACACTTCTATTCATTCGCAAGCTGGTTTCGACCGTATCAATGAGGCAATATTTCCTCTGAAATACCAGAACAATAATCTAACAACTGTTGCCTTATTTAAGCGATTCACTCCAGACTT